TTTTGGGCAGCAGCAATAAAGCAAAAAAGATGTGACAGACTGCTTTTGTTTATGAGGTTAAGCTGACAGTCATTTTCAGCTGTGTTGCCACTTACTGGAGAAGGCACATTCTTTATTCCACTCATAGAAAAGAGTTATATAAGAATGACCTGTATTAGATTAGATTTTCTCCTTTTGAGCAGTGTAAATTCAATATTCACCATCTACCTGAATTTAATTCATTATATGAATGGCCCCAACATGCAGTGAGAACCTTGATGTGCAGTGTCACCAAACCAGAGCACTCTGATATTATTTAGTGAAAGTCTCTTTCATCCTGTATCTGACATAATATCCTGTTATATCAATTCGATTTTAACTAGTTCGTCACAAAGCAGCACTTTTTTTTTTATAGCAGAATTCCCTAGGCACACTAGACAGATTGGTTCACACAAAGCTGCTTTATGTGGATTTAACTGGATCACCGCTGTACTGACACCTCTATTTTTCCTGTGCATGAAACATATTCTCATGAAATTAATATCTTTTCCAGTCCTTATCCATAGCCATATTTTAGTGTTTTGATTAGCCTAAATCTCTCTAAATTAGAGCACTACTCCCATAGCTTTCAACGCCTCTCTTTGTGAGATTTTGACTCTTAAATGACTCAAATAATGCATTTTCTTCCAAAATCCCTCTAACCTATCTATTGCCCTAGACATCTGCTATTTTTATCCCCACAACTGAAGACACCAGTAAACATAGCAGGATGTTAACTCATGTGATCATGTTCATGAAACAGCCCTGAAGAAGCTAAGAAGACAAAACAAATTTAAGTTGAACTGTCACCACCCCTTGTAGATACAGCTTCAACTGATAAGGCTGATTTTGCTTACAGCTCTACCTCTAGTGGGCTCTGTTAACCTAAATATTATGGTGGGTTGAACATTGCTTTGTGTACAATGAATTATTCTTTGTCTTCCTTTCAAATGCTTTCAAGTATACATAGCTTTTCTCACATTCAAGTTAGAAAATGAGTAATACTTTCTGTTTTGAGACATCTAAACCTTTTTAAAAATCTGTATTTCACATAAAGTCATAATTTTACATATTTCTATTAAATTAAATAAAAAGCTTATTTTTGCAAGTAAAATTAGCTTTAAATCAAGCATTTCTGATCCAAAGCAAATTTATTTCTGTTTTAAAGAAAGCTGCACTAGGATGCATTTTTTTAAAGTTATGCATGACCAGCTTTCTTTTCTTATCAGAAAGGAATGAAGCCCCAAGAGCAAACAAGCGGGAGTGCAGAAATTACACTCACTAAAGCAAAGCAAAACATAAGGTTAACAGCTTCATATTCTATTCTGAATCAAGGGTCTTCAGTCTTCAGATGTTGTCTATAGTGGGCAAAATAAGCATGATCATAAAAGAAGCATGCTAACATAAGACAGCATATAATTTGGTGGATGTCAGAATTTAACGTTATGTATCTAATGCTTCCAGTATTTTTAACTAGAAATTTTGCCATGAATTTTTTTAACTTAGATGGTACTGCTTAGTTGCTGTCTGTGAACACATAGTTCATTTCTTTTATGTAGTTCTACTGAAAGGCTGGTGTGTGCTCTATTACCTGAATGAGATGCTGCTTTAAGAAGGACACTTTATTTCTATTTCAAGATGCTTTCTGTCCCTGTACATCTTTTTCCAGTACTGCATGATATGAATTAAGTGCATAAAAAGCTTTCCTTTTCCATGTTGTTGTATTGCTGTATGGTCCTCAGCAGTCTCTGTGGTCTCTTTATCCCTGTTAGTTTTTCCAAAAGACTCAGCATAGAAACAGAAGTAAATCTACATCCTTCTTACCCAGAGATAACAAGACAGACTTTTCCTCCCATCTCACTAAGGGAATATTGCAGAGGGGATGTCGAATAATGCTTGGAACAGTTCTTACTGTAGCTTCCTCTTATTTGTGAGTATTCATCACTGGTCATAATGTGCAGCACAGTTGAGAATCAAAAAAATTATTCATAAAGTGGCATGGATGAAATCTAGTAGCTTTTCAGTAGGGCTGGGACAAATATTTTGTAGTAATTGGAGAATTAGAGCATATTGTGCTGCGTCAGCAACAGAAGCGATCAAGGTCTCCTGTCCTCAGCAAACTGATGTGATGCACACCTGGAGCATCTCTGAACTTCCTACCCAAGACCAGGCAAAACAAGGAAAGTGAGAGACACCTCTGCTTGACAGACCTGCTCTATTACCTAGGTCATTGCAAAGGAAATTAGGTTTGCTAGTTTAGGACTAGCAGAGTATGATTTAAATAGACACGAAAGATAGATAATAAATAGATAATAAAATAGATAATAAAGAATTGCCATACACCTTTTTTCTATTGTTTGAGGAAAAAATGAGTGCTTGCCACCATTGTATGTGGAGCACATAAAGCACATGAACACTGGAGGCTCATAGATCTGGATGGTATGATTTCCTTACTGAATCAGAGGGATTCCATCACTGTACCATTTCTCTGTATTTGCTTCCTGCAGCAAGAAGTCTTTAAGTTAGCAATCGGCAAGACTGGGCAGAAGAGGAATGTTTCAGCTCTAATGGGCTGAAAATATCATGCTGCTGCAGCTAGTTCATGCTAGAATTTTCACAATGGAAAATATTAAAATGTTAATTCACTCTGCTGTTTTCAGCAATTTGTTCTTTCTTGGTGAACTGCATATATGTGGTTAGAAGTTGTTTCTTTTAGACATTCCTAAGCACTCCCAAGTTTGTATTTTTTTTTCAGAACTGAGATTAAAAATGTTTATTCAAATGAAATGAGCAATTTGATATGTGAAATTTTGCCTCAGTGTCATTTGCTATTAGGTCACAACAAACACAAGACAAGAAAAAATATGTTTGCAAGTATTAAAACGCTGGATTTTGACTATTTCAGAAAATAGAGCCACTGTGAAGCTCTTCTGAGCTGACTACAAAAATTAAAAATACTCTGGTCTTCCCATTTGGCTATTCTGAAAAGAATAGCAGGGTTTTATCACTGCTATAGTGATTTTCATCTTGAATCATCTGCGTGGATGTTAAATAATGAATTCCCATGAAAATGAGATTAAATTAGTACCATCTTGTTTCTGTCACTGGGCAAACTGAGGCCCAGGTCAAGCATTTCCTTTTTTCCCCACCTTCTGTTCAGACCTCTCTGAGCTAGCTCAGATTGCTTGCTAAAGTCATCCTTCCTTAAGATCAAGGTGTTGCAAAATCAATACTAGATTATGTTCTTTGCTATTAGCCTGAGCAGCTTTTTCTATTCCCCAGAACTTACTTATGTGCTGTTGTATAGAGGTCATCTTTCTGCCGAATTGCTGAATAATCCAGCAGGGTGCAGGGCCGAGTTCCCTTTCCAGAAGCAGAGAGCCAAAAGTAAAAGTCACTTTGTACACTTTTATCACCTCTACATCAAAAAGATTGGCAAAATAGAGAAAAGTAAGTGAGAAGCAACAAAAGGGGTTCATGGGTTGAGGAGACTGATATAGGTAGTAAAATAAAATAGATAATACCAAATACACAATCTTGAGGTTTCCTGATTAAAAGAAGCTTGTGGGTTTTTTTTTTGTTTTGTGTTTTGTTTTGTTTTGTTTTTAAATGCATATTGCAATGGCCACCAGATGAGTTGGAAACAAATTTCTGCAGATGCTGCTCTTTTTTATTCCATTTTAACTCAGGTCACTTCAGGCAAGATTAAAATCTAGGTCTTACTCACTGACACTGTAACAACTTACAGGTTTTATCAATAGTAGATGACAAGAAATCAAGAGGAGTTATGGTTGTGTTGCATTTTTAAAAGTTGAGCCAATTTCCTTTTTTTAGTCTTACTCAAAATAAATATATTAAAAAATTATCCATTTAAATTAATATTTAGATCCACATGACAGACTACAAGTATTTTGAAGGTATACACAAAGAAGTTACAGAAATTGTTAGAAATTAAAGAGTTTAAAATGACCATTTTCCCACATGCTTGAAAAAACTCACATTACGAATGGAGAGAGCAGAGTTTCAAGGCTGGAACCTACATACATTATTTACATCTACTATTCACATAGTTGCCAACCTTTTGTGATAGAAATTACTCAAGGCACTGCCATCTCTTTTGTCCTTGTACCATCATTTTAGGTAGGAAACTGCCAAATAGGCCACTTGTGTAGATTATGTAATTTTGTCCCGGTCATAAATAGGACAAACACAGGAGCCCCTTTTACACTCTTCATGATGACTTTTTTCATCTATGTAATTCTGTCTGGGGAGCTGATAGCTTTCATTGCTCACGGGTGGTTTTTTTTACTTTTTCTCTAAAATTTTTGTGTTCCTTCTTCGTGCCTCCTAAATTTACATAGATTTATGTTGGAATGAAACCCAGACCTCTGACACAAAGGCGTATGCTTTATTATGAAAAACAGTTTCCTTCCAGACACCCCACCATTATGCATTATCAAGTGTTGCGTTGCCTTGGTGGTTTTTGTTTTCTTGGACGGGCTTTAATCCCTGAAGCAGAATCAAGCCTACGGTGTCTGACATGTCATGTCTCAGCTGGATTCACCTGACTGCTGCTTTGCCTTGCCTTTTGCTTTACCTATCTTTGTGCCTTTGCAGCATGGCTGATGCCCCCATGTCCTCCTGCTGGGGCTTTGCCTGCCACTCAGGGCAGGGAGCAGCGGGGAGGACACAGCCTGTGCTGCTGCTGGATTTAGGAAGAATCTCCAGGAAGGCACATGCTTCCACTGCTGCTGCTACCCCCATCATCCTGCAGTTCAGGATCTAACTCAATACATGTGTTGTGCACACTGGGAGAAAACAGTCTGCATTTTGAAGCAGAACTTCTGCATCTCTCACAAAGTCCAGCCTACCTGGCCTGTCTGTTTCTTGCAGGTGAATGGTTCTCACTTCAGTGTAGACATCATGTCCCAGTGCAGCCTTTCAAGATTGTGCCCACACGTGATTTTGCTCTCTCTTTGCAGGGGTATGTAGTTGATGAACATGCAGCCATGCAAGCTCGATGGGAAGAAGCATCTAGAGACACAATCAAGAAGACAACCAAGCCATGCCCCAACTGCAATATTCCAGTAGAAAAAAATGGTAAATTTATTATATATCTTGTATTTAACTGTCTTTTAAAATTCATTTTACCAAATAAATGTATAAATGTGCATGTGTACATATTCATAGTATTATTCCAAGATAGGGAGAGCACACAGAGCTTGAATAATTGCCTCTGTCACTTTATCTAAATTATCTTGAAAACATTAACTCTAAATCACTTAGTTCTAAAACCACCAATCAAGCCTCACAAAATGCCTGGTTGTTTTGTAGGGAGGGAAAATGAGGCACTGGATGTAGCATTCATATGACTGGATATCCAGCTAGTTGTCTAGATTTACTATTGTCACTGGGAAAAATAGACATTGTAGGGTAAAACATATCACAATGAAGCAGAACATATGTCTAATGTAGGACAGAAGAATCACACCTAAAAGTGGGATGTGGAGAATGAGTCCTGCTGTAGATGTCTACACAATATATGGCTGAATTTAGATGAGATTTATCTCAACCCAGTCACATGCCCGTAGTAGAAGTGCAAATTAAAGGAAACAACATGAATCCTGACAGTTTGCACTAATCGATGTTTACTGTGTAGGAAGCAAAGTAATCTGCTGGCACTGGGATGGTTAAAATGGGGAACAGAGGATGGTAAATAGGCTATACATTATGCGTTAATGCTATTCCAAGATTTAATGGTATTTATATTAATTAATTAATAAAAATATATTAAATTTATTGCCTAAATATTATAGAAGTATTTAGAGGATGCTTCTCAGTTTTGTGACATCACTTATTCACATGGAACACTGAAAACACCAAATAAGACACTGTGAACTGCAAGAAGAGAACACTTCAAGCAGTGATACTGCAGAAGTATTACTGAGGAAGAAATAGGACAAAATCCTGAAATCTGGGGTTTGATGAAAGAAAAGAAAGCAGTTGGCAGATAGAAAGTGGGAGACACTTTCAAGCACAAGAAACAGAAGGGAAAAAAACCAAGAATTCAAGAGTGGGAAGGCGAGACAAGGTTTGGCATCATGTAGAGAGCAAGGTGGGCAGCAGACAAGAGATAACAGAGGGCTTGGTCAAAAATCTTATTTGCAGACTTGTAAAACAGGCTGGAAACAGAAGTTTTAACTGCATTAGAAATAGAGAGATGATAATATTTAACAGTTTGTGTGTACAGCCAAATGAAAAGAAACCTTCTGGTCAGGTTGAAGGAGTGGTAGGACCTTTATTTTCTCTTATGCTGGGCTACAGAATCTTTACTGTTAAATTATAGGCAGTTAACATTTGTCACAAACAGGATATTCCTGTTTGATACCATTTACACAACTCCCACAAAAGTTTAGGGACATTGCTTGTAAAAATCCCCATTTTATCAAAAAGGCAGTTCTACTTTTTACCTTTGAATGAAAACATTTATTGAAAAGGGATAATAAGCAGGAAAAGACTTTTCCTTGCTTATAGCCTGACCCAGGTCAGAACAGTGCCTCATGATACAAAATGCCAAAACCCTGGTAGTAGGCTAGAAATGTTTGACACGCTGTAATTGGCTGATTGTGCTGCAGAGATGGGCAGAGAGGAACCTTCTGAAATTCAACAAAGGCAAATACAGGGTTGTGCACCTGGGGAAGAATAACCCCATGCACTAGTACAGGCTGTTGGCTGACCTACTGGAAAGCAGCTCTGCAGAGAAGGACCTGGGGGTCAACAACAAGCTGTCCATGAGCCAGAATTGTATCCTTGTGGTCAAGAAGGCCAATGGTATCCTGGGGTGCATTAGGAAGAGCATTGCCAACAGGTCAAGCCCTCTACTCATCCCTAGTGAGGCTGCATCTGGAGTGCTGTGTCCAGTTCTGGGCTCCTCAGTACAAGAGAGACATGGAGCTCATGGAGTGGGTCCAATGGAGGCTGTGAAGATGGAAAAAGGACTGGAGCTCTGAGGCTGAGGGAGCTGGGCCTATTCAGCCTCAAGAAAAGACAACTGAGAGGGGAACCTCATCAATGTCTCTAAGTGTCTGAAGGACATGTCAAGAGCATGGAGCAAGGCTCTTCTCAGTGGTGCCTGGCAATAGGAGAAGAGGCAATGGGCAGAAACTGATGCACAGGAAGTTCCACCTGAATATGAGGATGATCTTTACTGTGTGAGTGACCAAGCACTGGAACAGATTGCCCAGAAAGGTTGTGGAGTCCCCCTCACTGGAGATACAGAAGAACTGTCTGGACACAATCTTGCACAATGTGCTCTAGGATGACCCTGATTGAGCAGCAAGGTTGGATCACCACTGTGGTCCCTTCCAACCTTACCTGTTCCATGAATCTGCGATTCCAATGAAAAGATGAAAAAAGGACTGTATAAATAAATACATGATGGGAGAAACAAAGAAAACAGAGGCAAATTATTCTCAGTACCCACTGAAAGGACAGGCAGCAATGCATACAAATTGAAACACAGGAAATTGCGTTTAAACACAAGAACATCCTTTTACTGTGTGGGCAGCTGAAGACTGGAACGGGTTGCCCAGAAAGAGTTTCCATTCTAGGATACATTCAAAACCCAACTGGATGCAACCTGAGCACCCTACTTCAGTATGACCCTGCTTTGAGCACTGAGGTTTGGACTGGATGTTCTCTAAAGGGACCTTCCCACCTCAGTGATTCTGTCATTCTGCAAATTAATGCATGAAGCTTAAAAAGCGCAGTGCTTGCTTTCTTCTTTGGTCATGGTTACTGCATATGCCAGCTTGTAGGCTGCCATTTGTAAACTGAGAGAAGCACTTCAGAGCTGCCTAAGTAGCTGACAACTCTACACTGAACTCTGCCGACAGTCTTCATTTGGAAGGAGTACACTGACTCCACACAGGAGAATAATTGTACTTTCCTTCCCCAAATGCATCTGTGGACACTGTCTTTTACAAGGGATAGTGGCAATGCCAATAACTTTTCTGTAATACTCTGTGTAAACTATAGGCATTCCAGAATATTTCTGGATGAAAATAACTTTCCTATAATAGCTGAAGTGAACGAGAGAAACACTTTCCTACAGCTGAGTTCCCCGTCTGAGTGAGTTTAAATACACATCCATGTCTTTTAGAGGACTGCTGTACTCACAAAGCTCTAGGTCACATTGCTTGAGACACTCTCCACTCTGACTGCTGATCTCAGCTGCCATGTAGCAGAGAATAACGTGATGTATCTAGTTTAGAAGGTAGGACCCACGTTTGATAGAGGGTGTCTACTGGGGATTGAGTCCTGTGCCAGGACTAAGTTTTATTCAGTGATGGCCTAATACAAATTGTAAGAGAGGACTGGGTCTAAAATTTAAATAAACTGAAACATGGAGGCTGGCCATTGGTATGTTTACATTTAAATAAGATAAAAAATTTTCTGGTGCATTGCATTTTTTGCACAAAGATATAAACTAATGAATAGACCTTGCTATCACAACAATTTTCTCTCTCTGTCAGATGAAGTAGACAGGCCTATTTTAACAAACCAGTTCTTGTGTCTCCTGCAGTTTTTGCATTCTGAGAAACATTCTGGAGTGGCATTTATAAAAAAGGTGGTGTGAGGGTAGCAGTTTGTACAGTAGGGAATACACACTCCCTGTACCTCCCATCACCATTTGGAGTAAAACCAAGATGACATTTCAGCATTTCTTCATACTGTATACTTTTCTCTCAGTTTGAATTATGCAAAAGATCTCTTTGTGTGGTAAGCAACATAATTTCCATTTAAAATGTATTTCTGTAATGACCTTTGACAATGTTAATATTTTATATATTACAAAATAAACTTTTGATCAAGGTTGTGAGCAGAGAGATTAAAACTGCTCTCATAGTATGGGCAAGTAAGAAGCCCAACACACAGGAAACACTGATGTGATCAAAAGGCTGCTTCAGATACTAAAAAGGTCAAATCAACCTAAATTACTAATGTCATTTTTATATAATCAGCAGTCAGCCACTAAAGTCTGTGTCTTCTGATTTACTCTCTGCAAATCTTGCAGTTGTTGAATACAAATAAAAAAAAAATTAATTTTGTTTATTTTCTGGCTCACAGCTGGACTAGCATAGAGTAACCTTGAGGAGACACCTCCATGACTGCTTTGAGAGGCCATTGACTCATTCTCTTCCCTATCCCTAGCACAGCCTTTTCTAATTTCCTCCTACTCCTGCAGTCCCTAAGGTAAGACCAGCATATTACAGGGAGTAGCAGATTTTAGAAAGCCCAGGGAAATATTCTTCAGGTTTGTACTTTTCTTTTATAAAATATTTTACTTAGTTGGTAAATGAATGCCTAAGAAAGTTGATTTTAACACTCTTAATTGTTGATTAACATCTCTAAGTGTTTGCCAAGTACTAAATCCATTCCATTGCTATTTTGCAGGTGGCTGCATGCACATGAAATGTCCTCGCCCTCAGTGCAGATTTGAGTGGTGCTGGAACTGTGGCCTGGAGTGGAACAGAACCTGCATGGGAGATCACTGGTTTGACTAGTGGTGCTGAGGACAGCCTGTGCTACTGCTGCTAAAGCTTTCATTGGGGCCAAATTCTGAACTCCTTGCTTAAGCAAAATTCCCAGAGGTTTCAGGGACCCAGGGTTCAGAAGTTGGCCTCGTTTGTTGTTTTTTTTGTTTTCTTGCATATGCAATCATACCAAAATCACATTGAAGTTATGACAAGGGGTTTAAATTCACTAAGTAAAGAGAGTTATTGTTTTAATGGACAGACTTGCTCATTGTGGTACAAAGAGGGGTAAAGTGCAACTTTCTGAACTCGTGCAGTCTGTCAGCATGGAGAGCAGACAGGGTTACCATGAGGAACTTTACTTGACATTTATAGTCAGGAATCCACAACTCTTGTGAGAGTGAGGAGCCTGCACAGTGTGTATGTGAGTGTGTGAGCATCAAGAAGAGTAGAGGATCTGCTTTTTTCTTTGACCACTTCTTTGCTCATTCAGCACAAATTTTGATTTTGAGGCAGTACTTCTTAACAGCTTTTTTGGCAAAGGGAAGACTGTGGCTCTTAAGTGTTTTCTCAGGGTTTCTTCCTAACAGGCTTTCTGTAGGGACTGGTTTTGCTTTCAAATCAAATTCCCATAGAAACATCCAGCTTTATGCCGTACTTGGGCTTGTGTATTTGTGACATACAACATGAAACCTGCCTACCTACTCATTATAGACTTTGTTACAATGGGAAGATTAGCTAAGAGTGCAGTTTCAGCTCTGTCTGTGACTGTTGCTATAGTGGTGACTGAATCCAATTAAGTGTTGTGCAAGCTAAACTCACAGGGCTTCATTTTTCCTGTACTTACGGAATACTTTGGACATGGCAAAGTGAGAAAGGAGAACACTTCTCAGGGCTTTTCTCTATCAGCTTTCTCCTAAATTGTATTAGAATATGGGTATAATTCTGAAAATGCATTTGCTGCTCTAACAGTGTGGGCACAGGGACACCTTCATTTTACAACATTAACAGAGTAAGTGAAGTTTAGTAGTATTTCCAAGCCTGAACAATTTTACTGTTTGTGATCTTTACGCTGCTGTCTTATTCTGAAATGAAATTGGTAATGTCCACATCCAACATGCCATGTAAGGATTTGCACAATTTAGTTTTGGAAAAAAAACGCACAATAAATAAAGTGGTCAAAAATTTAAACTTTTATTTCTTTTTTTTATTTGAATACAAAGTAAGGGAGTACAGAGATGTTGGGTGGGTCATGCATTGCCTTGACTTATTAAAACTCCCAGCTGAGAGGCTAGCCCTTTGATTAAAACATAATGTTAGAACAAAATAAATGCCACAGCCATGGTCTTCTTTTATCAAGTTTGAACTAATATTTTGTATGGCATGACTGTAGAGTCCTGAAAATATGGGTGTGCCTCATATCAGTACAGAGAAGGAACCTTGAGGTATTAAAAAAATCCCATGCTCACTACAAAAATATCCAATTGGTAAAAGCAGTGGAGTATTCATCTGTCTAAACTGGAAGAGACATTAAAAGTCTGAGGAAACAAGGGAATGAAGGCATGAGGTATCAAAAATGAGAGAGCAAGCTGGTAGAATTAAGAAAATGAGAAAGAAAGAAAGTGACAACAAGAAGACGATGGACATTTCCTAAAGATAATTTTCCAGTGAAAGTTTCCTGTGGCACTGGTGAACTAAAATGTATGCAGAAGTAGCTACATTGAAGTGTAGAGATGCAATTGAATGCTGCAATGTAGCTCATTTAAGTACATTATCTTAATGGGGATATTTTACTGTGAGCTCTGAATATCTTATTGTTTGATTTCCTGTACCTGGGTCTATTTTATAATTTACATGGCTTGTTGCCAACAGGCTAGGGAAAAAGTCACAAGGCTTTGATCATGTGTTATATGGGAATTCATCGCTATATTTCATGTTCAAAAACGTTCGGAATAAAAGAAGTCTGAATCTCTTTCCCATTTTTTTTAGTGTCTTTCTTACAGAGGAAGAAGAAGTTATTCACTACAAGAAAGTTTCACTGAGTTAGAGCCTGCCCTAACAAGTTAATGTTTTAATTGTTATGTAAAAACATGATTTGTGCCCCTGGATCAAGATCCATTGAAGTCAATGGACTGTAGATCAGCTCCTGTATTTCTTTCTGGCCTGGGAAGGGCAGGACAGGCATGAGTCATAAGGCTAGAATAGAAACACCTCTTTTTTGCAAGAATTTGCCAGAGAATGGGATTATGAGCATTCATCTAAGACGTATGAAATAGGACAGGAAAGAAGAATAAAGTTCCAGCATTGACTCAAAATTATCTACTTTTAGAGACTGACTTTATAGGCCTTTGTCACATAGGGTTGCTTCGCACAGGCCAGATTCACACTCTGCTAAAAACAAATGTGTATTCTACAGGTTTTAATAGAACATGTCCTGATCTTCTCTGTGTTAATGGTATATGTGTCTGTGCATACATGCACAAAGTTTGAGATGGTACAGGTTGTAAATCTGATTTCTCTTTACTCTAAGATTCTCATAATTTCCACAATTTAAAGGGCATGAAAAATCAGGATTAATGCTCTGCTGACACTGTAAAAATGCTGGAATTCCTACAGAGATGTGTGAATTAGAGATGAAATGTCCTGTACTGGCAGCTTTTTTTGCATGGAAAATGCTGTTTTAAAAAAAGATATATAAAACTTATTGAAAAAATCTATTTTGCAATTTGAAACAAACCAGAACAGAACAACCAAGTTTTCAGCGTCTAGACTGATCCTCTTATTTCGGCTCTGAAGTATCAGAGTGGAATTCACCTCATCCAAGTTTAGCTCTTTGGTTGGTTTGCTGGCTTCAGAGGCTCGCAGAGAGACCCATTGTGCATGTCTATGGTGGAGCTTGCTGAATTTGTAGTATAATTGGTCATGACTAGAGGCGTGATGGCAACAGCCCTGCCAGAGACAGGGTGTAGCTCATGACGGGACGAACAGGACCTGTTCTGTGTGCTCCTACACGCTCGTGTCTCTACTGTTGCACAGAGAGGGGAGTCTTTCTCTTTTAAAACTTGCTGAACTGGCATTGCTTGCTACCATTCATGAAGCCAGCTTTGGCAAATGCTTTCTCTGGGTTGGCACACGCGTCTCTGGAAGTGGTCCTGGGCAGCCATGGAGGGTAATGAAGAAAAACAGGACTCAAGCACAAAAAAAGAAGGAAACCAACCTGAGGGCATAAGCAGATGGAAAGTTTTCAAGAACTTGTAGGTTTATGTTCTCTACTAGCAATACACATGACATTCAACTGTATTTTCTAAGAAGGTGATTTATTATGGTGATATAAAGCAAAAAAAGAAGTCTGTATCTTTTTATCAAGGTTTGCCTTTATTAATTGAATTCTCTTTACCTTGAACCTTCTTCATCTTTCAGATTAAAACAATTACCAACTTGTTCTTGGTACTGCAATCCAGGATCCTTTAGTGTGTGTTAAATGGATTAAGTACAGGATGTATGCTGAAATATTCAATAATTATTATCATTAAAATAATAACAACAATGAAAATCTCTAATACTTAATTCCAACTGGCAGTGAAATCCAAATACCAAGTAGTTTAAGAAGAAAATACATAGTAGCTTGGTTTCTTCAAGAAAAAGTGTATCTCAAAGCTCAGAGTGAATAATAATTCAGGAGCTGTGATTTTGACTAAAATATCATTTATACATCTGCCTTCTCTCATCGCAAAATGCAAGCCAAATTATTTCATTTTAAAATGTAAGCTTTAAAAAAATCAATAAATGGCATTTCAGAAGAAACATTATGTCGCTGTTGGGAAATAATAGTTATGCTGTGAAAGAAGAGCAAGCAGTAGGGTAAGCTTTTTGCATATGAATAGTAAGATACCATCTATATTGCAAACTGGTATGGTAGCAAGCCTTTTTGCCTACAGATCTTGTAGATCATGTAAACTGAAGAAAAATGGGCATTTGTGGAGGGAAACCTGAGGCACTTGGAGGTGAGAGGCCAGATGCCAAGAGATTCTGCTGGCCTGGAAGACTGGGAAGAATTAACCCTTTGTGCCAAACTTTCTCACAGTATAAAGCATAATATCAACTCCAAAGATTGTTTAGCCCCCACAATGACTAAATTTATCTGGTTCAGTGTTTGACTAATATGGTGTCGTGGTTTAACCCCAGTTAGCAACTTAGTACCGCACAGCTGCTCACCCCTGCCATGGGATGGGGCAGAGAATCTGAAAAAGGTAAAACCCGTGGGTTGAGATAAGAACAGTTTAATAATTGAAATAAAGTAACATATAATAATAATAATAATAATTATCATCATCATCATAGAATCATAGTAATGAAAATGGGGATAACAAAAAGAGCAAAAGGAATAAAATTCAAGAGAAACAAGTGCTGCACAATACAACTGCTCACCACCCACCGACTCATGCCCAGCCCCACCCCGAGCAATGATTGGCCTCTCCCAGCCAACTCCCCACAGTTTATATACTGAGCATGATGTTCTATAGTATGGAATATCCCTTTGGCCAGTTCAGGTCAGCTGTCCTGGCAATGCTCCCTGCCAACTTCAAGTGTACTTCCTGACTGGCAGAGCATGAGAAACTGAAAAGTTCTTGGCTTAAGCACTACTTAGCAACAGCTGGAACACCAGTGTATTATCAATGTTATTCTCATACTAAATCCAAACACACAGCACTGTACCAGCTACTAGGAAAAAAATTATCTCAGCTGAAAACAGGATATATGGTGATGGCTGATGCAGAGAAACCCTACACAGAGTTAGAGCAGCAGCAGTAGCAGTAGCTCTTAACAACTAGATTTTGTTTCCAGGCAGCAAAATTCTCATGCTTCCTTCAGTTCCTCACTAAGCAACAGAAAAGCCTGAAGAAAAACGAGACAAAAGTTTCCAGGAGAAGGAAACCCTATGTCCAGTTGTTCCTGATGGTCCTTCAGCAGCCTCACCCAGATACATCTGACAGCACAGCATTGACAGCTATTCAATGAGAAGAGAAAAATGTACTACATTTTATCTGACTCAGTTAGTTTTTAAGGAAATATTTCTATCTCTAATGAGCAAATTTAGAAAAGCACCTCTCCTCTCCTTTTTTTTTTTTAAACATGTTTGTCTACTTATTCCCATTACGTTTATTTGTGTATGTGTTTTACATGTTTGCCTGTGTGGTTCCCCTTGTGTATCACTTACTGGTTTTCAGCTGTGTGTGCCTCCTCTTCAGACAGTTTAATGCTGTAGAAGTTTGTAGCTTGATTGTCCAGGAACTACTATAGTTAGTACATGCACTGAATAGGCTCTTCTCATATTCTGGGTAAGTATGTGCAAACCAGAAAAAATGTAAATGGCTTTAAGAAGCGGTAGGGTAGGCAAGTTGAGAGAAGTTCATTTAATCATACAGAGAATAATATTTAATGTAGTGGTTTCCATATCTGTAGAAAGATTTTCTTTTTAGAAATCAGATCATATGCCATTTCATTTTTCTTCATTATTATTAATAGCGCACTTTTCTTTGCTTTTTATTTGTTTTTCTTGTCTGTGTCTCCATTTTTCTGAATAATGGAGTAATGATTCTATGCCAGTAGATAAAATATGCAGCACGACATCACCTGTTACATTACTTTTTGGCTTTTAGCCCTAGAATGCTTGAGGAATTCACATAATCCGTGTTGGCAGGGAAGTGCCATTATCTGTATTCTACAGTCAAGAAATTTACTCCAGAGAGCACAGCCCGACTACATGGAGGCAACAGCTCAAATGCACATTGTCCCTTTCTTCACAACTGGGGAAATCTGGCTGCACCAAAGTGGAGGCCACCTGCATGCTGGGATGGTGATGACACAGGCTCAGGGAAGCAGGAAGCAAATTTGAAGTTTAAGGTCCAGAGGACACCAGTCTGACATTAGGGACACAAACAAATAATTTTTTAAAAGGTAGGATTTTCTGTGGCCTAAAGGAGAGTGATCTAACCTGACATCATTAACAACCACTGGGAATTTTACTGCTGGCTTCACTGGGGAAAGGCTAATTTAGAGACTCTGAAAACACCACTTACTTCAACATTTTAGCAGTGCATAGGAGATCTCTGGGAGAATTTTATGTCCCAGTTTCCTCTTTATCTCTTTGTTAGTTGAATATGTCATCTACAAAACACATTCATGCCCACTCTCTCCACCTTGTTTTAGTGCAAACTAAAATCCCTCAAGCAGTGATGTCATATATGTTTTAAAAACCTTTAGTTAAGTACCATCTGAAGCAACAGACTGTACACTTATTCTTACTTGGTACATGATTGTATTGTCTGCTTCATAAAAAGTAATCCTGACAGCCTGCCAATTACAGCTTCTGGTTACCAGGTCAAAAACTGGTTGGATGAAGACTTAAGTAATGATCAAAAGGTAGTGCCAAAACAGAAAGCAGCAATCAATACAATGAAATAGTATTCAGACACTTCTTCTGTTAGGGCGAATATAATGTTTTTCTTGGTATGGATGCTAAATGCTCCTGAACAGGTCCGACCAACTGCATTTGTTTATGCCTGGAAGCTAAACCTGGAAAGCCCTGCACTGTGCTTTTCCAAAATAAAGAGATCAAAATATGGTAAAAGGGTTTGAAATTTTTAATGAATATCTGAAGTCCATGTGTTCCACAGCTGTTGGAGTTAAAAACCATAAAAAACAAACTACCTCACTAAACTACACTGACATTTTTCAAGTGCCCAGTAAAACAACAAATGCCAGGTTTTCTTTTCATTTTTTAAATCTGCTTCTCAAAGGCCAGAATGACTGTGATATTTACATTAAACTCAGTCAGTTAATGAAGCTGAAATCAATTCTGATTCAAGCTTCCAAGTTTTAGTGGTGATATAACTGAATCTAACATTTCACCAAAATGTTACTCAGGCTTTGCTTAGCAAATATTAAGGTGCTTATTTTCTGATCACTTAGGT